TTTCTTTCTTTAAATATACATTTTCTGTTTTCTTAAATTTATACTATCATATTTATAAGTTATATGATATAGTTTATCGTTAAATTCTAGTGAATTACAATATAGGTTTTGGCTATTTTTAATGATAAGGTATTAATATTATAAGTTTAAGTGATATCATGAAAATCGTAAAAAAAAGTATAATTGAATGATATTAAGTGAAAAGGTATTTACATTTTTTAAAATTGTAGTGCCCGATAAATTGATAACACAACTGGGATAATAAGTGTAAAAATGTATAATTGAATGATAATAAGTAAAAATATATAATTGAAAGAAATTTTAATCACAATTTACTTTTTGAAAAAAATAAATTGTAAATTTGAATAAAGAAAAGTGATACAAAATCAAACATGGGTACACAAATGGGAAAAACAATTTGAAAAATGATGAAATTTTAGTGAAAATAAATCAAAAAATGACTAAAATATTTTATTTAGTTTCGGAATATTTATAGAACTTTTGTAATTATTTTTACATGTCTAAAAATATATAGTTTGGAAATTTATAAAAGTATTTCTATATCTTTTGAAAATTGAGAGTTGATAGTTGGAATTAATAAAAAAAATCGACTATAATTGGGATTATTTATGGGTGCAGCTCCTCTCCATTTCTCTCTTCATTTTCCTTCCATTTTCTTTTTACTTCCTATCTATCTGTACATTTTTCTCTATTCTATACACCAACATACCCCACCCTTCTTTTTCTCCTCTCTATCTCTCTCATAATGAAACTCTCCAATTAATGGAGAGGATCCAAATTCATTATTTATAGTAATTGTGTGTGTTACACATTTTGGGATGGAGAGCTTAAGAAGTTATGATTTATTGGTTATAAGTTCACATATTTAGTCTACTAGTTACTCTACCCCTGCGTTGCACGGGGTAAATTAAAGTACATTATAAATGCAATTATATGGAAATAAAAAAAAAACTTGATAGTTCTTCAATAAACTCAAAATATTAAATAGATTACAAAGTAAGACGTCATTATAATAGCAAATTATTAAAAATGTCTATTTATGCAACATCAACTTCGATGGACTTGTTATTCGCCACATACACTTGTTGATACGTAAGAAGTGTCAGAGCAATGGAGAAAGATGATAACCTTTTTCAGCGATTGATCCCCACATTTCTTGTTAATGATATTATTACATATTCACTAATAGATGTTTAAAGTTCATTTTAAAGTTTTCTAATAGACAGTTACACGGATGGAGTTTGAAATTATTGTTTCGGTTGGTGCATTTAAGAAATAACTATTTTTGCGTTTTTTTATCTCCTCTTCATTTGGATCCTCTAATTCTTTGCTTCCCTGAACCCCAACTTTTATTAAAAATTGTGGCTCTTCCATATGTATGGTACTTTCTAGTACCTTTTATTTAGCAATTTTACTAATTTTTTTTAATCAAATTAAAGTGCCTTTTTGTTCTTTTTTAATTAGTAATTGTATTTGCTTTCTAATTAACAATTCTACCGGAGATCTATTTTGTTAAGGTTCCATAATATACATAACGCATAAAAATTGGAAAAAAATTTGATTAGTGCCTCATAGGACAAACCAAAATATCAAATGACAAACCTGCTATAGTATTCGCCTATTTATTATAGATAATATACTGCAAACCCGAACTTAATCAAATTTCTTATTTAATCATTCGGAAAAAGTTTGTGAATTCCAATTTAAATTAAGAAATAAATGTTTCTACGCAAATCTCAACCACGCAAATTTTACTCTATTATTCCACAAAGAAGTCAAAATTAGCCAAGTTTAGTGAGACAGAGGAAGTATCTAAATATATTTTATTAATAAAATACAAAAAACGTTATATGAAGGAAATAGCTAACACCCTCCTTTAAGCAATTTTAGTCAATCCTGTTGGAAAATAATTTAAACCTAACTTATTTTTATTGTTACATGTTAAAACTGGAGAGTTGGGAAACTGTTTTAGAAAATCTGGCGGATTTCTCAGAGTATCGTGTGATCACTTTCCGAATCTAATATTTCGACCCTATGCCTGGGTTACACGAAATTTAGATTATGGGGATAATCACTCTCAGAGACAGTCTAAAACTGAGGCATCAATATATAGACCACGAACTATCAGTTTTAGTAGAACTCGAATTCTTCTGATTACCAAAGAGATAAGGCCAATCAGTTAGAGTTTTACTCTAACAGAAAGTCATTCTATTAAATAATTAATATGGACATGTTTATCCGAAAATAAATTTCCATATTTATTTCTTTAATAAAATAAAATTTTGGTCCCTTGGACTCCGCCAGGGGCGCTGCCCCTTGGACCCCGCAAGGGGGCGCAGCCCCCTTGACCCCCGCCATTTAATCGAACCAAGTTTAAATTTAATTTCGTACAAGTGTGCGCTCCGCACCTCCTAACTTGTCTAAAATTAAACTTGAACTCCATTGGTAATCTGTAAATTCCATTACACTAAAATGAACCTGGTGATACTAAAATCACCAACTTTACACAACTCAACGCGTGAAATAAAAAATTACATATTTGCTAAAAAGGCCGATTGATATGATGAAAACAAGCGTTACCAAACGGGTCCCTAAAATCGATCTTTATTCAGAAAATATGAGTCATATCATCTTTTAAACAAAATCAATAGAACGAAATTGGAAGAGTTTATTATCAAACTTTGAAATTTGAGTTGTGTTTATCATCCTCTACGAAATACTTAATTACATAGTCAAATTGATACTCCAGCACATAGTGTATTTTTTTAAAAAAGATTAGAATATTTTGATTAAGGAATTTTATCAATCAAGGACTTGAAAGATAGAAGAATTATCAACCCAGGATCTAAAAGATGAAATGTATCGATATAGGACTCGAGAATGATGGAAAACTATCGATTTAGAACTTAAATGATTTGAAAAATATCAATATAGGACCTAAGTTTTCATAAATCTTATTTTTTTTATTTTCAAAATTTTAAATATTACTACGTATTTATTTTTATTAGACTAATAAACTTTTGTGAAGAAAAAATCATCAAATATTAGCAATGGAATTAATAAAAAACTAAATAAATTACATGCCATCACAATTGGAATTAACTACTACGTATTTTGCAAGAATGGAATTAACTACTACGTATTTTGCAATCCATCGACAGTTTTAGTGCGTGCAAATAAAAGAAACAGGTCACACAGAATATATTTATATAATTTCCTAAGAAAACTAATCACAAGCTTAAAAAGTACTACATTAAAATAAAATCGAAATAGTCTACTTCTTCTACCACGAACGGTAAGTCCTCTCTAATAAGATAAAATATTTGCAGTCCCTCTTCTGTTGAGCACAAACTTTTTTCGTAACATTATCATTTTTTGTATATAATCATCTGAGGATAGAAAGTCTTAGCATTAAAGTTACTGGTTTAAAGGAGTTTTATACAAATAAGTAATTGTGGTATAATGCTAAAATGGATTCATATATTATCATACTGAGGTGTATTACATATAAAAACATTATCTTAATGACTAATTAAGAAACCTCCTTTCTACAGAAAAACAACATTTCACTCATGATGTTGGTTATTTGACAAACTCTCGTAAGAACGTTAATGTGGCAGCCTGGAGCATAGATTTATAACAACAACAACATCCAAGTCTTAATCCCAAAAGATTTTGGAGTTGGCTAACATGAATCACTACATGATATCAAAATCAATAGGAAAAGAAAGATAAGAAAGATAAAAAGATAAGCTATGATAAAAAAGAATATAAAAAGAGATGGTTTGAAACCCGTGTGAGGTTACCGTGCCTAGTGGGAGGTCTCGCGTTCGAAACCCGCTAGACACACAAGGGTTTGAAACTCAATTGAGTGAGTTTCAGCCCTGATTACTCCAACCCCTCCAGTCCCCCTCCCCCAGACCCCCCTGGAGTAAAAAAAAAAAGATAGGATATACATAAAATCTTTTGAATAGGATAACTTTGCTACTGGATGGATACTTCTTTCAGAAAATGAGAATTATCATGATTGTCTTCATAGTTCATACTAACCACTTTAATCGAATAAACATAGGCATGTCCTGTATTATGCTCATCAAGAGAAATTTATAAGAGTTGTCATCCACCTACTCTATAGTCCATATAATAGTATAACGACAGAGTATTATGATGGCAAATTTTAGATATATAGTTTTTGAGAGTTTGTTTTACTATCACCATGGGCCAAGACTTCAAACACAATCATGAATATTACATTTAATTCAGCAAATACTCTCATTCTTGGTTATTCATATCATGTTGATATGAAGCAAAAAGCAACTCTAAAGAAGAATGAGATGAGATGATCTGGTGATGTCTGGTGCAGCAAGTTGTTACCCCATAGGAAAAATGGCAAGAATGCCTGGTTAGATTCAAAAGAGTCAATGACGTTCAGCTTGACTATATAACAACCGCAAAAATAAAAATGAAGGAAAAGAGGATTGACTATAGGTGATGTAAAATATATTTGAGTGTAATTAAATACTACCTCCGTCCCCCTATAATTGTCTCTTTTTTTCATTTTTGGATGTCCCTTTATTATTGTCCCATACCATATTTAATATGGTAACATTTGTGTGGCTCTAATTCATTCTTACTTTATTTCCACTTTATCAACTCATTACCGACCAACCACATTCTACTTTTCTTAAAAACCGCACCGCTCCCTTCCGTACCAATATTAGGGGGGACGGAGGGAGTACTATGTATCAAATGCTTTCAGTCCTATTTCATGAAAAATAAAAGACAATATAAGGGTCAGAGGACCAGACTGGATAGAGGGGATTCAAATGGTATAGTGAAGATTTGAGCACTTTGGATGTAAGATTGTCTGGGAGAAGAAGTAAATTGTAACCTGCATTGAGCTTGACTCAAAAGCTTCTCTGCGGTTCCTTAAAGCAGAAGTAAATCACTCTTTCACTTTTAATAAAAGATAAAGAAACTAAAGAGAGATCAAAGGAACAATAAAACTTCAAGCAACTGAGTCAAATAGCCCATTCAAAGAACTATCATCTTCAAATTCAATCACATTTGATGTTTCATTAAACTCACATGTATTTTTACATCACCTAAATGAGTTCAAACAACCCATTAAAGATAAACAAACTAAACAACCTTTTGACAAAACAAAGGTATCTGAAAAGTTGCTGAAAGTTATAATGGTAGCAAGCCACAATCTGATGGAGATGAGTATAAATGTAGAGAGAAAAGCAGCATTCAGAAAAAAGGTCCCTGCTACATACCGCTGCTAAGCTGATGCAGATTTGGAGAGGGAAATATCTTCGGTGCATTTAGGGAAGAAATGTTAGATAGCATTCAACGTTGAAACACAAAACAATTCAAAAAAAGTAGTGGAAAACTTGTTCTATGAGATAGAATTTTTTAAAACCATATATATTCATTACAGAATGTTCATTAAAACTCCTATGGTTATTAAAGAATAATTTTAAGAATTTGTGTGGTTTTAATGAATATGTATGGTTTTAATGAATATATATATTCTTTTTATACATCATGAAAAGAACCCAATTACTAACCAATTACAGGTTTAAGGGTCACCATGTTACTCATAAATCACAATGAGATTTAATGATTTATGCAATAATGAAAAATAACAAATTTGATTTGAACAAAATACCTATGTGGAGTGAACCATAACAAAGGACCAGAGTGCGACTTTGTTTTTATGGCAGATTTTTCTCTCTGAGGCTTCGCTAAAAACATGACAGGTTTAGGCATTTAGCTGCGGATGGGGTATTTTTTTATTCTTTTTCATGAGTTTGTTTCATGAGGCCTACATGATAAGATGTGCCAGCACACCACCAACATATGCTCAAACATCCCTACGAAAAATTTGGTCAAATAGGACCAAAAAGATATTAAATATAATTTATAATTATAATAGTAATACACGGGTACGTAATATTATAGAAATAAAAGTAGACTTACCTTATATTTCAATAAACAAACTAAAAAAACCAGTGTTCACCTTTTCAAATTGTTGAAAAGGTTGCTCAAAATCATGGCATCTACAAAGTAAAAGAATAGATAGATTAATTAGAGCAGATGTGTTACTCAAATGCTTGGTAATTCATGAGAGACAATTCCACAAAAGCATTTGAAAGCTCAACTGGAGCCATTTTGGTCTACAAAAGAAGTTCATACGTAAAACTATTTTGACATACCACAAGCTATAACTAAGAAAAGGCCAGGAGAAGTTTCACCTACTCATCTAAAGTGTCCTGGAAAAAACAATCTCTGAGTATAGGCGAGGTATTAACTTTTATAACTATGGTTTTCACAACATAGTATATAATTAAACTACGCGTTTAGAAATGTGATAAATACCCGAATAGGCCAAACGAACTGACACGATGTGGGGGTGCAACCCCTTGTAACCTATAAAGAGTGTCTATCATGCTCCCATTAAACATAAGTACAGAGAAGGATTGTGGTAGAATAGGAGGAATTGAAGAATTTGAGCACTATACATAATACAAATAAGGTTGCTTAATAAAAAGACGTCTAGACATATATCAAAACACATACCACCTTACGTTACATGTCTGATAATGCGTAAGTGAATCAATGTGAAGAACAATAAATTTAAGTGCAGGCATTATATGTTTGCCCTGCCTAAGTTACCATTTATCAAGTACCATGTAACTTTACAGAAAATAGAGTACCACATCAGTATTGATTTTTGAAATATAAAATGATTGTGTGACATGATGCATAAAACACACTTCATTTTACTATTGTGTGACATGATGCCTACAATTGTAAACGCATTTGCACTACAGTTATATAAATCTTATATATATATATATATATATATATATATATATATATATATATATATATATATATATATATATATTGAACTCGGTAGGCAAACCACCAAAATCAGGGCAAATGCCGGGGAACATTTGTCGGGTTTTATTGATATGAAGGAAAGATTACAAAAAAGAGGGGGACTAAGTCAAAACCTCTTAAAAGAAAGAACATTTTAAATAATAAAAAACATCAAAAAAATAATGAGATAATCTAAGTGAAGGAACCCCAAATAAATCCATGTAAAATGCGTTTTTAGCTTGGGTTGGCAAGTTCGAGATTCTGGCAAAGGTCGTAAAATGGGCCGGGGACTGATCCGCCAAGATATGTGTTGTCCAATTAGCTTCTCGCATAACATGAGAATAGGAAATCCCTCTATTCTCAGACCTGAGCGTCGTTGCCTTTATTTCTTCCTTCCATTTTCCCTCACCGCCCTCCAGAATGTGTCGTAGAGCCTCTTTAGAGTCCATTTCGACTTCAAAATCTGAGAATCCGTCGTTCAGAGCCCAAACTGTAGCAAACAAAGCCACTCGTAGTTCCGCCCCTAGAGCTGAAGAAGCTTGGATTGGGAAGGAAGCGGCTAAGAGCATCTCACCACCACTGTTTCTGATGATTGCTCCGCCCGACACTTGTTGAGGTAAGTAACATGCATGTGTGTTCAATTTCATTTTATGTCGAGGTCTATTCCATCTAACAACCAAAATGGTGGGACGAGATGGTTTATATATAATTCTTATATATAAATCTACAATTATTAATACACGTAAAACCTTCAATTCTTAAACCGTAAATCTGCTTATACACAACAGACCATGGAAATAGGAGAAAGCTCCACGCGTAATGACAATTACAATTCTCCAAGAGTACAAAGGAATTTTAGACGTAGGTTACGCTACCAAGTCTACCATGAAGAACAAAGAACAAAAAATTGTAACACCACCTATCTAGCTAATGCGTATATCACCGTTAACAGTTGACATGTGCAATCCACAAGCCTATTCTTTTTCCCAAGTACTTTATTTAAGAAAATATTTATAACTAATCAATTTCTTTTGCATGAAATGGGATCCAAATGCAAACACCATTATAACTCTTTCAAATACATGGATGACCTGTAAAATCACTCCAACTATCAAATAACTAAAAAAAGCTCATCTTTCTACATATAAATACCGAGAAATACCCTTTACTCTTTCCAAGATCCCTAATTGTCCGTACTGTAATGCTACGCGTATGCAGTATGAGTCTTTGGGGTTTTGTTGTTGCCAAGATCAAGTTGTTATTACCTCAAATGAAATGCCAGCTACTTTAAGAGATTTATTTATTGGGGAAAATGCTCACGCAAGGCTTTTTCAAACATCAGTTAGAACATATGACAACACCTTTGCATTCACCTCTATTGGGATATACAACTACGATAGAGATTTATGTCGGCAGTCGGCGCAACAAAGGGATATACACTTTCAAAGTGCAGGGGCAGATTTATCACTTCATAAATGACTTGGTGCCAGCAGGATCCCAACCCCAAAATCTACAATTGTACTTTTATGATACTGAGAATCAGATTGAAAATAGAGTACAAGGTTGTGAAAGGCTTGATAGAGATTTGATCACCACATTGGTCCAAATCATGTCATTTAACCCATACGCACAATTCTTTAAGAGTTTGGGTGAAGTGCCTCATGATGGTGATTTTATCATCATCATATTAAATTCAGATGCAGGGTTAGATCAACGGGTGTATAACACTCCTACAGCTTCACAAGTTGCTAAAATTTGGGTCGAAGACCCTACTGATCGATGGTATTGCTGGAAATAGACACATTCGGGTTTACGCTTACAGCGGTAAGTCAAGAATTGTTCAATATTATTATGGGTGTTATGATCTGTTACAATACCCACTTTTATTTCCCCTCGGTGACATTGGGTGGCATGAAGGCATACAAAAAATATTCCACAATGTGGTGAGGGCACGCAAACAAGTATTTCACTCTCACTAACATCTACAGTTCACACCATAGTTACTCTTGAGGACCTCATCATTGCTGAAGAAAGAAACTTCCAAGCTAACAAGAAACGAAAGACAATTTCATGTCGAGAGTACTACTCTTACAAGTTGCAAATGCGCCCAAATGATAAGAGTTTCATACTACATACTGGAAGATTGGTTCAGCAATTTATTGTTGATATCTACATCAAAATCAAAACACAAAGGTTGGAATATTTCAGAATAAAACAACACGAGTTGCGATTTGAAACATATAGTGGAGTAGTAGACAGTATGCATATGGCCATGGTTTACGGGAATGATGGGGGAAGAAGAGTTATGCTTCCAGCTACTTTCATTGGAGGACCACGTGATATGCACAAGCGGTATCTTGACGCTATGGCCATAGTGCACCATTATGGCAAGCCAGATATTTTATTAACGATAACATGCAATCCCAATTGGCCAGAGATCAAAGAACATCTTCAGTATGTCGATGAGGCACAAAATAGGCCAGATGTAGTTTCCAGGGTATTCCATTCTAAACTAGGCGTGGGTGTGGTCCGGTCCGGTCCAATATTTGGCTGAACCCGTACCCGTACCACGACTATTCAAATGGTTCAGATCGGTTCGATCTTAAACCTAAAACCGTTCGGTACGGTTGACGAACACTTTGCCGTGATGTGCGTCAAAATAATAAATCAATACAACGATTATACGTAGTATAACGAAGTAAGGTTCGTATCCACAGGGAAATGAATATTTATTTTTATGTAACTAGTAACAAGGGGTTTTTAGGTGTGTTTGATTTTAATTAATAAAATACAAAGATCAGATGAACGACTTATATGACTTATATGAGTTTAATTCAGACCACTTCCCAATCCCCTTCATTTAGACATTAATGGTCTATTTGGATGAAGGGTTTTGAAGGGGTGGGAAGGCGATTGAATAACTCTAGATGTATTAGGAGTCGTTTACTTGAGATTTAATGGACTTAATGAGAAAGAAAATTTAACCGTTTAATCATTAAGTCATGTTTACTTACGACATAATTAGAAACACAACTTATTCATTTCATCAAAAAAACCAACTTCATCATTAAGCTGTGAAAATGCACTCTTTCTCATTAAGATGTTCATTAGACGTCTACTCATGTTCATTAGTCATCTACTCGGTCATGGGTATAATTTTAATTCAAGAGTATTTGAAAATTTAAAGATATGAAGAACAAGTATATGCAAAATTAAAGAATTAATTTTAAATTAAATCCTTTTATCATATCAAAGTTGAACTTTGATTCAATTGAACAACAAATCACATACTTTGGGAAGGCTTTAACTTAAGATTAAGCCATAAGCGACCTTTTTGTTAAAGATTAACCCACTCAAATCCAGAGGCATCTCAAAAAAAAATTAATTCAAGAATATTTGAATATTTGAAGACCGAATGCCTACATATTCAAAAATTAAAGAAGAATATTGAAAGACTAAGAACGAAGATTCAAAGATTTGAAAGAATGCTCCAATGTTCACTTAAGTATTAATATTCTCATATTTAAATATTAATATTCTCATATTTAAATATCAAAGGATCATATTTTAATACTCCGTATTAATATTCTCATATATTCCCTTTGATATCAATTTTAAGTAAATACTTCAATTAAAAATTGTTAGACTCATCTCTAAGGTTGACCCAAAAAGTTCATCAAGTCATGAACCAAGAAAACTTTTGGAAAGGGTCAAAATCTGACATCAACAGAAAGGATTGTTTTAGGCAACTCATAGAACACGGTTGGTATACTGTGGGAGCAACCCACAGTGAGCATGGTGCTCCCATGCTAATTCTCGCGTGAACACTAACTTTATTTTTTATCCCCAGTAGCAAAATGATGTAACTTATGTAACTTATGTGTAATGAAATGTAAATCACGTTAATATGCAGTGTAACTACAGACAAATTGAGATGTAATTTTTCTAATTCAGAGAAGAAGATATAAAACATTGATTTCAATGTAAACAATGAAAAGAAATATTCAATTTTATTATATATATAAATCATATAAATAAATAAGAAAAGAAAACCCGTGGATATGGTTGAATGGTAAAATTTCTAAAAAAACAAATTTTAATATAGCAAATGTAAATCAAAATAACAAAATTTAATGTCTAAAAACACTAGAAACATATATGAGAGATAATAAATATATTATAGGAAAAAGTGTGAATATGAAAAAATATATTACAAATAAGTGTATAAATATAGAAAATAATTAATTATTGGTTGTAATTTTAATTGAATAAAAAAAGGAAAAGTTTAGCAATAAGAAGTAAGAGAGAAAGAAAAAGTAATTAATTTATTTGAAAGGATGAAAATTTGAACAAATAATTGTAATAGTTCCTGGTGTTCTTGAATTGAATAAAAATATTGTTGCAATCATGATAACTTTTAAAGTTTTGATGATGAAAAAATTAAAAATAAAAAAAGAAAAAAGAAAAAAGCTAAGAAACATGAGTGGGCCGAATGGCCGATCATCCAGCCAGAAATGTGCAAACAAGTAGACAACGGTGCTTTGCTATCTTTTTTAATTGTGAAATGACAACGTTTTGGGATCAGCACACCGTGCGGACGGTGGGCCGATCACACGGTATAATCTGCGCATAGAACATGGACAACAAATCAGTAATTCAGTGATGGGGCAGTTTTTAGTCAAAAACAGTGAAATGCTCAGCCCTCATCATCACTCAAATACAGGTTGGGATGGGGAGTGAGCAAATCATACCATTTGTGCAACAGCAACTTGGGGGTCTTATTTCATGCTGAAGTTAAGAAAATTATCTATAGAATTAGTCAATACAGGATCAAAAGGGATCAGGTATCCATTTAAAGGGATTCTAGTTAACTTTATTCATGGTACGCATTCAGTGGAGCTGTGGAGGAAGACAATAGTGCAGCTGTGGAGGAAGACAATAGTGCAGTAGTGTTAACTTCAAGTGTTTGATTCACAAAACCAATTGCGACCCAATATTTTCTTCTTCATTCCAATATCTTAGTTTAACGAGAAAAAGACGGGATTTATATAAGGAGATCTAAGAACGGTGGATGGTCAGCCAAACAAGCAATACACCAAAGACTAAACATAAGAATTTCTTATCAAAAAAGTATCGAGCACCATCTTTAACTCCAGCATCTGAGCATTGCTGAAGACAAACCTACAATTCGCAACGCCTCGTGTCAGTAATCGATACAGAACACAATAAAAGAAAAGGCACATCGGAAGTACTTTACTTTTTGTGATTAAATACATTCTGATGTCCCATCACTCTGTTAAATCGGAAACCTGATTCAGAGCTATTGTGATTGCCTGCTTTGTTGAAGGATTCGACTCGCTCAAATTCCTCTTTAAATATCTGAAATCGCTTGGCCTTTTCAGCCCCGTCTTTGTAAGTACGTCCAAAACGCGCCATCCACTGCTCATGCCGCTCCACAATCGACAATTTATGGCTCGGCCCGCCACACTCAGCTCCTGACAACCGATCTCTAAGGATTCTTGCGGTGGCTGCAGATAACCCCCATGGTCCCAACAGGATAACGGCGACGACGACTGAAGAGATCGTCAATTTGAAACTTACAATGTAGGATGCCATTGGAGATGCCAGTTATGATTCTTCGTTATGCTGAGGGCCTGAGGGGGTAAAAGTGGTCGATTAATTGATGGTAATAACCGCCATATGAGGTATCATCCCATATAGAAAAGGTTTGTTCTAATTGCCTTTCCTTCATTTAATTTAATGTCGATAAATATTGATCCTTGTTCGATTGGACTTTATTATGTTTAATAAATTACCAAAAATATACAACTATATCTAGGAAGTATCTTTATATAATATAAAATAACAATGTGACAATCACTTTTGCCGCCCAAAATGTTACCTAATAAAGGGCAAAATTGGAAATTGATCTGCCAACCTCCCACCTAGGTATTTTTCTTAAGGAAATTGGCTATTTTAACTTTAAAGTGCTACCGGTGAGAATTTATTTAGAATGGAATCTTAACATAAATATATTAAACTAATTAATGCTCCGCATTCCACAACAATAATTTGATACTCCGTATGAGGATTATGGTTGCTGCACAAAAAACATTAATTTTAAGGATTATACATGTTGACTTCAATTGAGAAAGTTCCAATAAAATAATAGTAAGGAATACAATTGTGACAATTACAATTTTATGCTAAAAATAAAGGGTGTTATAAAAAATGAGAACTATAAATAGTAACTTGAATTATAGTATTTATGTATAATTTTTGTATTTGTGACCATTTTTTTATACTCATAATAACTCTAGCGTTTTTAAAAAATTAGTAATTTTTTTACAAGTAGCTCATAAAACTCTAAGAATTGAAACAAATATAAAAGTGATCACTTAATAATAAAGAACAAACTGGACAGAAAAATCGCATTTCAATTTAGATCACTTAATAGTACACATTTAATTATATTTAAACACATGAACACTCAATGTAACATTATAAGACTCTTCAATGTACACAGCACATGTATCATGAGAGAGATAGACACTCACATATTAATAAGTATAAAATATGTGATCCATATTTTCACTTTATTCTACTCAAACTTCGACAATGACTTTCTTTTACGTTTCAATCACTTTATCAGTAATTGTGTAATATGGAAACTAAATATATCTATATATATATATATATATATATATATATATATATATATATATATATATATATATTAAGGGCAAAGAAAGTACTTGCCAGATTTAAAAATATAAACAGGTAATGTGCTTACATATTAACAATTCCTAAAATAATGTTATAGATACATTATGGGAAATTAATGAATAATTATTACTACTACAACAATATAATAATAACAATGATGATGATGAGAATGATAATGGTCATAATCATATTTATATCTTTACTTTTATTTGTATGTTTATTTAATTAATATAAAGTAGTAATATTGCTACCATTTTTTACTCCAAAATGAAATTAGGTTTCCATGTAAAAAATATTCCTTACCTGTATTTAGAAATAAAACAATACTTCATTTGGCACTTCATATTTTTTATAAATCGATTATTCCTTTTTCTGAAAAATAATATTTAGAAAAAAGTAGCACACCGACTAAAGTTGTATTTGTCCATTAATTCATTCTAAAACATATTCGATGTGATTAAATTGAATATATAAGGGAAACTCAACAATATTGAAAAGGAAATGTTACATTTGTGTGGATAGATAATAAGTCGAAAGTAGCTAGGTTGTCGTTTTTTACATGCCCAATACTCATAAAAATTATTAATTATTTTTTTTTTCCTCAAAACAAATAAATTAAGATATTGCACGTATATGACACGAATTGATGAGCTGGTTATGAAATGACATCGACACGGAATTTAGCACGGATTTGACGTATCTCTGCCAAATCTATGTCAAATGTCCTATGAATTTTGGCAAATATGAGCCTAATCTGTATCAGCTTTGTTGTTTTGGCCAAATATATGGTAAAAAGGACAATACCGCAATCACTGAAAAATTATATTTGTACAACAAAACAACAACATCCAAGCCTTAGTCCCAAAAGATATTGGGGTCGGCTAACATGAATTGATGCATGATATCACCACCAAAAGAAAAAGAAAGAAGATAAAGATAAAAAAGATAAGCTATCATAAAAAGATAATATAAAAAGAGATGAATATGCATAAAAATGATAAAATAAAAAGGATACAAAAATTATATTTGTAATGACTAAAAAATTCTACAGTTTCATTTGTCATACATACTAGCTTTCCATAAATAAAAAAGTAATTGTTGAAGTCAAAATGTTTTGAAACTCTAAAATAATAATTTCTGATTTTACTTCTCATATAACATTCCCTCAATTTGAGGGATTTCGAAGTTGAGTTATTTCTGATTTTCTACTTCTTTTATACCAAAATTGTTACCCGTGCTATTGTCATCATCCAAACTTCTCATATAACATTCCCTCAATTTGAGGGATTTCGAAGTTGAGTTATTTCTGATTTTCTATTTCTTTTATACCAAAATTGTTGAAGTCAAATTGTTACTTCGAAATACTTTACTCCCTTATTTTACCTATTTAGAGAGACAATTCGTCTAAAAAATACAATTCGTGTGAATTTGTGGTCACCTTATTACTTAGTTATTATAAATAACTAAATTCAATATAGCAACATATGATCGCATCAAATTCTACACGAGTTCGGAGTGAAATCAGAAACATTTGTGAATATATGGTTAATCTGTAACTTGAATATATAAGGCACAAAATAGAGCAAGATATGATCGCATCAAATTCTACACGAGTTCAGAGTGAAATCAAAAACATTTGTGAATATATGGTTAATCTGTAACTTTTAATAACTAAGACAGAGATCATTTAGCATTCTCAAAACTTTGAATTGTCTTGTTAATAAAATAAATTTGGATGCTTGTGCTTCATTCTTGTAGAACTCTGTGTTGCTATATGAATTAAATTTATTTCATTTATTTATTTAATTATTTTCTTATCATATTATGTTGAGAAAATTACTCACAATAGGACTAAAACATATGGGATAGCGTTCTTCCCAAAGTATGATCATATGTTTGATTTTCCTTAAATAGGACTAAACATTAAATTTCTATCCTAATTTAATTAATTTATTACACGTTCTTATTACCTAAATAAGAGTAATTATTGTCATGCTTGAAATAATATTGTCAACTATGATAGTATAGTGCTATATTTAAAGTCTGATAATATCAAAATATGACAATAAATTTTTAGGATGACATTACCATATTCATCCTATATAGGAAAGAAAATCATCGTATCATACTTTGAAAATTACACTATTTACTCTTATTTTGTGAATTTCCGTAAATAATATTATGGTCTATGATTTCTTAGTATTACCTCCTTTCTTAAACAAGTGCTACATGTAGAATTTTACCATATTCACATATTCTGCTTTGATTACGTTTTATTTATTAATGTATTGATTCGTTATTTTTTACAATATAAATTGTTAATTTTTCTCATCATAAATTCTCAAAATCCGAACTTTTAAATTTTTTAATAATAGAGAACTAAATATACTAATGATCATAGTTGTGCATTGGCTACCGTTAAAAGTGGACTATTGCACTTATTTTAAACTAATTAAGATAGTATTACGTAGATTCCATTGATCTAAGTATACAAATGATCATGATAACACAACAAAACTCTAAGACAATTTTGCTCTACTCTAGATTTATCCCGTGCACCGCACGGGTATTTGGTCTAATAAATCACCAAAAGAAAATGTATACTAATTTTTGCTTTTTATGTTACTCTCTTCAACTAAGGGCCGTAAGGGGTGATCGTAGGTTGGAATCCGAAAGAGTTAGATAAGAGTTTTCTAAGACTACAGGACTCTTGGTCCCGACATAGCAAATTCAATTTTGCTCTTTGTACACATTCTTATACACACACTTACACATTCTTGTACACATTCTTTGTACAAATTCAATTTTATAGGACTTTTTTACCACATTCTAACAAAATGAGAAACAGTATTACAAAAATCGATGTATCAGAAATCTGAACGAACAAAAGTGGATTTCTTTAGTCAGATTTGCAAACTTCATAATTTCATTACTCTGGGATTTCACTAATCCCACTTTATTGCTGCTATTTCAAAATGGGTTGATAGGGATTTTTGAATATGCAAGTGGCGTAATGGAGAGTTATAACAAAGCGGTAAACCCTTGATCAGACCATCCATACTTCCCTTTAATGTTAAATAACAACATCACACCAGACAACTTAGAATAAGTTGAACCTGGATACAAAGGTTTCTTTGCATCTTCAACCACATCTCTGAAACTCTTTGGATTGTTATCAAAGAGTTCACACACATCGCCTAACATGTCCTCTATGTTGCTCTGATCATCAAAGGTTGGACGTGATTTTCTAGAGCTGTTACTACTTTCAGCCTCGCCGTGCCTATTCCAAATAATGTATGTTTCTAAAAACCCCACTTTGAACAAGTGAATTTTGGCTACTTCAGGACTTTGAAAGTCCATGTTGCAGCAGCTTTTGCACGGACACCTAATAGATCTACGGTTTTCAGAGTTAAGTATGGCATAGTTTATAAACTGATTGACCCCATTTTTATATTCCAAAGAAACTCGGTTACCAATCTTTATCCAAGATCTGTCCATCTAATATCTGCTATGTTAATGCCAATATATACGACACTCATCAGAAATATGCATGCTTAAACAGTTATATACAATTTTTTATTATTCCAAAAACATATTATAACCTATCATTATGTTCTATTAACTTCATATTAACACCACATTGTCATTAAAAAAACTATGTTCATAGTACTTTAAATAAAAACTCCAGATTTAAGATGACTTGGGATGAATAAATGGAAAATTTAAAAGTTAAGTCTCCATCCACCGTAAAAATCGCGAGACAGACAAAGTTCATTTGCTCAAAGATCAGGACTTGTTAATCTGCTCAAAGATCAAATAATTCCAGTAGTGTTTTAAGTATTTTTAAAGCAGGTCAGATGAAAAGAAACATAAGGTTTCCTCCACATTATCAATCTAATTGATTATAAATTTAATTGATTCATCACAAATGAAAAAGATAACATAAGGTAAGCTGCAAGAACTCAAACAAACTCATACAAACAAAGTACAAATTCACACTTTGGACACAACATAGGCCAGGTTTTGAAAGGCAAAATTGGGCCAGAGGCGGTCAGCGGTAGCATCGCGAGGCGTAAGCCTCGAAATTAATTGTTAAAATGTTGACAAAACATATTGGGTAATATAGATAATTCATAATAATACTTCAACTAAACATAATGACAAGTAAAGAGAACATAAAAATAAAATATCCAAGTCAAAAGAGCATAAAGCCGTAAAATATCAAAGTCAAAAGAACATAAACAGTAAAATTCCAGTAAACTAGTCAAAGTAAACAATAAAATTATGGATAATCAACTTTAATAAAGTAATAATTTTAATCAGTCTCACTGAAGTAAACTACGATATTTTAATTAAACTGTGAACAAGTAAACTAAAAAATTATTAAGGTAAATGAAATTTTTTAATAATAGCCATAAACTGTATATATTGAACAGAGTGTAGCCTGGTACACAGTAGTATAAATATTAAAAAGTTTAAAACCAGAAATTTTAAATAAATAAAAATTTAAAACACACTAACAAATTAAAAATTAAAGTAAATCAGGTGGGGTGATTACTTGGAGAGAGCCGTTGCTGAAGTCTCTGTCTTGAGCTTCAAAAACGCAACGCCACCCCTTTCGTCCGGTCGTGAATCTCGTAAGAACTAGCAAGAGTGGAACAAACAACTTCAGCAAAGATGCTTGACGAAAATTATAGGGTACTTTTTAACAAAAATAATTTCAGACCCAAGCTTAAAAAATCATCGACACTGCCTGGTGCCCACTACCTCTGCGCTGTAGGCCCTGAGCAAAATGAAAGTCAAGCCATAGCCTTCTGGAGAAAAGCAGGGCAAAACCTACGGCTGCTACAAATTTTCGTATCTTAGCCGGCTGCTACAGATTCCAGAACCTACGGCTGCTACAAATTTTCATATCTTACACACTGTAAATTTCAGAACCTGCCTAAGACCTACGGCTTAAGCCTTATTACATAAGGAAATGTTGTATCTTAGAATCAGAGAGTTTATTTACTTTAGGGACATGACACTATCTGTATATAGGTTCATTGTGGACAGATTGACTATAATTCATTGAATCATTGGTACATAGTACACTGGTGTGCAAGCTATTATATTTTCTCTTTTAAAGGCCTTTATTTTTCTTGTAATTTTTTGCTTTGTTGTTTGCATTTGAGCCAAAACAGAGCTATGATATATATCCAGAATATCATTTGGATATTCTCAATGCATATTCTCAAGAATAACAGGAAAAATTCTTGAAGAGGCATATTCTCATTTGTATAAAACTTCTTCAAGATTATGACTACCACACACGCACAGAGGCAATGCCCGGAAAAATTGATAGTTGAGTCCAAACAAAAGGTCTTGAAACCAAGCAATTGAGTAGTACACGGCTAAAGAATTGAGGAGAAACCAACAAAGGATCACATACAAAGTTGGGGCGAAATACCTCGATTACCTTGTACGGAATGGTGGCGCAATTTCCAGAGATCGTCTCCGTCAATGGCTGTACGTGAAGGTCTCACCTTATCAGTGACACAGCTTTGGTAATCGGCGCTAGTCCATTAATCGGGCCGTTGTTCGTCGAGAATGAAAGAGGCTGGTCCGGTTTGGTATCTTCCGGTGAGGAAGATAGTCTTAAAGGCACTGTGGAAATTTAGGGTTTGTGCGGGCGTAGATGGTAAGGAAAGGTCGAGAAGGGTTATTTTGATCAGAAAAGTATCTTTTTTTGGAAAACTATCAAATAAACCTCTGTACTATATCGAAAAAGTCGATTAGGCTCTCGTACTTTACAAACACTCGATTAAGTCCTGGAACTATTAAAAAATGTTCAATTAAGCCCTTTTGGTGGGTAAATAACTGATTTCCCGGTTAAACGACGACGATGGCGACAATGTGCTCGAACTCCAACAACGGCGGCTTCCGGGAAACAGGTTACATTTAACTGGGAAACCGGTTACTTACCGACCGAAAGGGCTTAATTGAACATTTTTTAATAGTTCGAGGACTTAATTGAGTGTTTGTAAAGTATGAGGGCCTAATCGACTTTTTCGGTATAATACGAGAGCTTATTTGATAGTTTTCCCCTTTTTTATGTAGTGTCACTATTATTTATGATTTCATATAGTCACCAAATAGTGACACATGTATGTTAAATGGAATTTATGGTGTGGAGTAATGACACTTATTTGAGAATTGTCACAAATTAAGTGTCACAAGGCAGATTTCTAGTAATGTAGGAAATAATTGTAATAATAATAATACTCCTTACGTCCTACTGGACTTTGCCAACTTTCTTTTTTTGTTTGTCCCAAAAAACTTTGCCACTTTCCTTTTAAAGCAATGTTTTTGTGCCACTGTTAATTTCTCTCTCCTCTACACAAACCTCAACCACACAAATTTTACTATTCTAATTTTCCACCTAACGTCAAAAGGAGTGAGGCACTCCTGATGGAGTGTATGGCCCAAGACCCTCCGGCCCACATACTTTCACTACTACAATTAGGCCCAACAGGCCCAGGTGGTCCAATTACAGCGAACAACACTCCGGACAACACATACTGCAACAAGGTGTAGGGGACGTACGGCCCAAAGAGCCCTGAGTACATACAGCCTCTAACACATGAAGAGCTCCAGCTACGTACGGCCCCAGGGGACGTACGTCCTCCAACGCTTGACGGTCCTCCCCAGCTACGTACGGTCCAATGGGACGTACGTCCTCCAACACTTGGTGGTCCTCCCCAGCTATGTACGGCCCAAGGGGACGTACGTCCTCCAACACTTGACGGTCCTCCCCGGCTACGTACGGACCAAGGGGACGTACGTCCTCCAACACTTGACGGTCCTCCCCAGCTACGTACGGCCCCAGGGCACGTACGTTCTTCAACACATGAAGTCCTCCCCAGTTACGTACGTCCTTCAGCACCTAAATGCCATGACTGTGTCCAGCTGCGTACGTCCCCAGCATGCTGCCAAGGCCAGACCGGCCCCTGGGGATGTACGTCCTTCGGCACGGGCAGCCTTCAGCTCATACATGACCTCCGGCACGTGTAGACCCCGGGTGCGTGTAGCCGAGGGCACTCTCCTTGACAGGATATCCTCTTCACATGCTCTGAATCACCGCATTAAATGTGGTGTCACGTCCAACCACCGCATTAAATGCGGTGCCACATGCTATGCTGGTGCTACATGTCGTGCCTAGCTGAGTTGACTCTCCACCGCTGGGTACTTGCCAGGTGTACCCTCATTAATTACACCGCATTTATGGCACCTATAAATAGTTAGCCACTTCATCATTGTAAAGGATCGGAGATCGAACTTTTGAGCTCATTTAATACATATTCTCTCTTTCTCTTACTTGTTCTGACTGCTATCTAGATACCTTTCAGTGGTATCCCATCGGATATACTATCCGTCATTTGGTTCTCTCGGTGAGAGGTCGAACAATCAAGTAAGAACTCCTCCCGTCCAGAAAACAAAAGAACTTATCATAATGGGAATAACTCGAGGTCAATCCAAGACCCTAGAAGACAAGAATCTAGGCCTCGAAGAGGTTAACATCGTCGAAGCCTCTAACAAGGCTCCCAAAGGAGAGGCCCTCGCCGAAATGGAGCAGGCCGCTGCTGACCTGCGCCTTCAGCTCCGGAAGAATGCTCCTGACGCTCGTCTCAGCCCCGAGGCCCGAAGAAAGGACCGAAGTGAGAACCAAGTAAGTCCTCCGGTCCTAACCATCGATGTGTGATCGGTCTTCTCGGCCTTCACCCACACGCTCACCTAGAACCCTGATGCCTTCGGGGCTCTGGTACTGCCCCAAATACACGTTGGGGAGAACGTCATTCCATTCCCACCACCCCCGCCCCCCTTCGTAATCCTGGTTCCAATAACGAGGGGGTTGTTGCTCAGGACATCGCATCCCAGGAAGTTCAGTCCCGGGACGAAAAAAATCCACTTTTGGTCCCATGATTATTATACCACTTCCACATTTAGTCCCTTACTTCCAGATTGTCCACATTTAGTCCGTGACCATTATCCCCTCACCACCCTCGGTCCTTCCGGCCAAAATTCCGGCAAATTTAGTCCACTTCTCAGCCTCAGAATCAGTCTTTGCATTTAATTTTGTATCAGTTTGGGTTTTTCATATCAGTCTTTGCATTAAATTTGATTTTTCATACCTAAAATTCGCATTAAATTTGCCGGAATTTTGGCCGGAAGGACGATGGGTGGTGAGGGGATAATGGTCACGAACTAAATGTGGACAATCTGAAAGTAAGGGACTAAATGTGGATGTGGTATAATAGTCATGGGAGCAAAAGTGGAAATTTTTCATTCCGGGACCAGCGTGCTAGGAACAAGGATAGGCCCCGAGCTTCCGTCCTCGACAGACTCGGAGGAGCGCAAGATCGTCGGGGGGTCCAAGACCGCCACGATGGTAAAGCGTTCCAAAAGCCTCAGGAGAGCGGAGGATCCGTCTTGAGGGCAGATGAGAGGCGTCCCCCTCATGACAAAGGAAAGGGTCAAGGAATTCAGGCACAATGGACTTCCAAGAACACCTCAATTGGATGAGGTTTCTGAAAGGAGAAATAGAACCTTGTTGGACATAGTTAGGTCCATGATGAATTCCACGTCTCTTCCAACATCTCTTTGGGGGTACGCATTGGAAGCCTCAATATACGTTCTGAATAGAGTTCCATCTACGTTAGTGCAAAAGATATTATATGAGTTGTGGTGTAATAAGAAGTCTATTCTTACACATATTAAAGAGTTAGGTTGCCTTACATATGTGAAGAATTGGACATTGACTAGTTGGGACCTAGAAGTGAGAAATATTATTTTGTGGGGTATCCTAATGAAACTATGGATACTAATTTATCTTCCCAGGGGATATAAAAACATTATTTCCAGACAAGCGAGATTCCTAGTACAAGACTTGGTCTTTGAGTAATGTAATCGTGGGAGGATAAAACTTGATGAAGTTCAAGAATCACAAAATAACATAGAGGACGAAGACTTGTTAGATGATCAAAACAAGTATTCAATGGGAGAATTGAGTGAAAGCATGACTCTAAGAGGATGTCTTTCAGTTAGTGGGAGTAACATAGGAATCACCTTGCACCATCAAGTGATTCTTATTAAAGAAAGAGATGACATGGTTGTCATTCCTTCTGCACTCACTTCTCTTTCTCTAGAAACACTTAAAGTGTAGCACCGTAAAACTCTCTAAGCATTGGATAGTCCAATGAAAGAGGACCTCTTCACGATCAGAATTAACAGCCTGAACAAAACGCAAAACACTCAACTCTGTGGGGCTACTAGGATTCATCATGAACTAACTAGGTTTGACTTCCTCATGGAGGATCATGATGATGTTGAGATTCCTGATAAGGATGAACCTAAGACTTACACTAAAGAAATATTAGATGTTCAGAGGTGGCGAGATGCCATGAAATCTAAAATGGACTTGATGTATATCAATCAAGTATGGAACTTGGTTGACTTGCCTGTTGGGTTAGACCCATTGGATGCAAGGGATTTTCAAGAAGAAAATTGATGTTGAAGGTAAGGTGCAAAAATACAAAGCTAGGCTAGTGGCTAAAGGTTATAGTCAAAGAGAAGGAATTGACTATAGTGATACCTATTCGCCAGTTGCAAAATTCAAGTCTATTCGGATTTTGCTTGTGATAGCTACATACTATTATTATGAGACTTGATAAATGAATGTCAAAACCCATTTTCTTAATAGAAACCTCAAGGAGGAGATGTACATCGTACAACCTGAAGGTTTTTGCATCCAAGTCAAATTCTAAATCACTATGTTAATTAGAGAAATCTATTTATGGGCTAAAACAAGCCTCTAGGAGTTGAAATATTAATTTTGATGAAATAGTCAAATCGTTTGATCTCATCAAATGAAATGAAGATGCTTACGTGTTTAGAGTGCGCAACAAGGATAGCGTGGTCTTTATAATCATATATGTTGATCATAGAGAATGATATCCCCTCATTGAAGTCCGTGAAAGAATGGTCACCCAAAATCTTCATGAATATCTTTTTGTCTATGGTAGACAAAAAGAACTAGTAGAATTTAATTATTCTAGCACTAGTTTCATGTATGATAAGAAAGACTACGAGTCACAGTCAGTGTATGTTTTTAGTCTCAATGTAATAGTAGTGCTGAAACAGTTGCAAGTAAGAAACTGCTATAAATTCGACAACTAGAGCCTAATAAATTGTTGCATTTGATGCAACATAGGTAAGCGTTTAGATACGTTAGTTCCTTAAAGAAATAGGGGAAGTTCCTAGCTACAGTTATCCAATAATTGTTATTGTGACTCTACCGATGCATTTGCACAAGCTAAGGAACCAAGATGCAAAGTAAGGAACTAAAATACCAGTATGCTATCATGTTTTGATAACAAATAGCAAGATGAGAAGTTGCAATAAAATGTCTTCCCGTAGAGGATAATTTGGCTGACCCATTCACCAAACCTTTGAGATGCGATAAACATTGTAGGCTTTTGAGAGTCTAGGTGTTAGACGCATTGGTGATTGGCATTAGGCCAAGTGGGAGATTGTTAGTATATATGTCCCAGCGACAATCACTTTTTAGAGATATATGTACTTGATCATATTCAGTTTTATATATTTGATATATACGGTATTACACATTGATGATTAAGTATTTAGATTGTCAATATCTTATTC